ATACGGACCACCTGACAACAGGCCATGCATATACTGAGTTCTTTTCTACTCTTCCATGTATGGTTTCTCACTTGGTAAGCCACCTTGCCCAGTGACTGCTGGTGATTCTGTCTCATTCTGGGGTTTGGTTGACAGCCCTACTCACCTTCACTCTAAGTTACCACCTCCAATCTGGCCTCTATCAGTAATTAACATGGCATTTGAATTCTCTATTGGCCACATGATGAATGCCCTTGAGCACACTTTGTTTCATACTTGTTCAGAATCCAGCCAGCAAAGGGGGAAGCTGTTTTGGAAGACCTTCTTAGAAATCCCCAACATTACCAACCAAGAGGGAAAAACACAGGGTAGAGAGAATTTCTATGTCTTTTCAATTAGTGCCAAACAACGAGGTAATCAATGAGAATAATAATAGCTAATGATTACTGAGCACATACCATATGCCACTATTTTTGGCAAACGTAGAGGCTAAATTAAATAACAAACCATTTTATCTTTTATAAATATGCAAGTAATAACAAATATGCTATTTTAATTTTATCTCATTCATTTTTAAAATACAAAAATGAAGAAGAGATAATTTACGCCTTTAGCTAAACATACCTAATCCAGTCAAAAATGGCTTTTATCCAAAAGTCAGGCAATAACAAATGCTGTCTAGCATGTGGAGAAAAAGGAACCCTTGTGAACTGTTGATGGGAATGTAAGTTATAAACATTATGGAGAACAGTTTGGAGGTTCCTCAAAAAACTAAAAATAGGGCTACCATATGATCCAGCAATCCCACTGCTGGCTATATACCCAAAAGAAAGGAAATCAGTATATCACAGAGATATCTGCACTCCCATGTTTGTGGCAGCACTGTTCACAATAGCCAAGATTTAGAAGCAACCTAAGTGTCCATCAACAGATAAATGGATAAAGAAAATGTATTTATACACAATGGGGTACTATTCTACCATTCTGCCACTTGCAGCAACATGGATGGAAGTGGAGATCATTATGTTAAGTGAAATAAACCAGGCGCAGAAAGACAAACATTGAATGTTCTCAGTTATTTTGGGGATCTAAAAAACAAAACAATTGAACTCATGGAGATAGAGTAGAAGGATGGTTACCAGAGGCTGGAAGGGTAGTTGGTGGGGCAGGGGGGTGATGGGGAGGAAATGGTGATGATTAATAGGTATAAAAAATAGAAAAAATGAATAAGATCCAGTATTTGATGGCAAAATGGGGTGATTATGGTCAATAATAACTTAATTGTACATTTTTACATAACTAAAAAAGTATAATTGGATTGTTTATAACACAAAGGATAAACGCTTGAGGGGATGCATACCACCTTTGCCATGATGTGATTATTATGCATTGCATGTGTGCCTGTACCAAAATATCTCATGTACTCCATAAATATATACACCTACTATATGCCCACAAACATTAAAAATAAAATTTTAAAAATTTTTACAATGCCATACTGAATCTCTGTAAAAGCACAGACAGGTCTATATAGATATAGATACAGCCACCAGCTGTTATAAACTTGCAATAGTATCAACTATATTAATACAGCAAATGCATTCTTCCCTCCTCTTCCCTTCACAGATGAGTTCCTTGAGATAATGAGACTGAGTAGACTCAGTTCTATTGCCACATCCTCACCTCCCCTTCTATCTCTTTAGTCCTCTGCAATCAGATTTCTCCCTCAACCGGGGGAAAAAAAAAAAAGGGGGGGGGCCCTGGCAAAAGGCCACCAAAGCCCTTCTAATTGCTCCTGGACTCTGCAGACCTGATCTTACTCCACTTCTTTAAGCAGCTGACACCATTACTTATGCACTTCTTTTAGAAATCCCTCTTTCCTTGGCTCTTGACAATATTCTCTCCTGGATCTCATCCCTCTTCAGGATAGGGACTTCTCAGTTTCCTTGCTGCTTCCCTCTCCTTTGCCCATTCCTTATGTATTAGAGTTTCTTGGACTTCTTTGCTTTGCCCTCTTCTAATGTTTCACCCTCTCTAATAACTAACTCAAAATGGTTACCTGCCACCTGTCTCTGGACACCCCCTCCCATCTGTCTATTTCACCTACTGCTCTCTTTTGAAGAGCAAATCTCCATCTAATGGCTTTGGCTATCTTCTCCTGGATGTCTCTCCAGTGCCTTAACAATGTGAACTCATTATCTACTCAATCTCTCTTCCCTTTCCTAGATGCTGAAAGTGTCTCTTACCAGGTCTCCCCTCTTCAGAACGGGCTCATCCAAGGCATCCTCCATAGTTGTGTGAGGGATTCCTCCAAAGCCCAAATTTAATCATGTTACTCAAAAGGCTCCCAATTCCATCCACAGTGGAAGGGAGCTTGGTTACACATAGGTATGCATGATTTGTCTCTTACCCCTCTCTTTTGGTTAGCCATAGTCTTTTCCCCATGACACCAGCAGCAAACTGTAGTCTCAGTCAGACTTAATGTATTGATTTTCATATAAGCACAGTGTTATTTCAAGACCCCAGCTTAGTTACCCTTCCCCAGTCATCACCTAGACCATCTGGGGAATAACTATGTATGTTTCAAGGCTCAGCTAAGGAATGAACTCTTTTATGAAGCCTTCTTCGATCATCTGAAGTGAGAGTAACCACTCTCTGCTTTGGACCCTACCTTAATCTGAACAGATTTGTGAACCTCTAGTGGTAGGGACTATATCTTATTAATAGCAATGTCTCAAGCGTAGAAATAAGTTTGTATTACATGCTTGAATAAGTGCTTGAATCTCTTGAGGTGACTAATCAAAGTAAAAGTTATTTTAATTCATCATCACATTAATTTATTATCACATTTTACTGGAATGTCTGATCTACCTTAATGCAAAAATCCACTGGCACAGGCATATTCCCCCGTCTTCTAAAAATAACATTAACTTCCTTATTACATAATATTCCAGCTGTAGTTTATAAGTTCTTTCTTTCCAGTTTAAAAAACAAAAATTTGTCATGATAGGCTTAGGCAATAACTCCCAAGAAAGACCAAAAATTTTTTGTCTATAACTTTTTACTTATCTGTTTATGTTATAGGTCTTCATTAAATTATTCCTCCTAAATAAGTCATTCTCTAACCTCTGAAAATCCTAGCACCATGTACACTTCACTAGGACCAGCTCTGGAATTCTTAGGTTGTTGGCAGAGATGACTTTGTTGGATGCTCAGTGAATGCTTTTCACTATTAACATTTTAAATATTTTTGTTCATATTTATGAGGAATGGAAAGTTGCAACCTGATGGGATCTAGGCAGTTGAAAATTCAAGTCTTAAACAAGTATAATCCCTCACTACATAGTACTCCCTAATTTTCTTCTCTCTTTTTTTTTTTTTTTTTTTGAGACGGAGTCTCGCTCTGTCGCCCAGGCTGGAGTGCAGTGGCCGGATCTCAGCTCACTGCAAGCTCCGCCTCCCGGGTTTACGCCATTCTCCTGCCTCAGCCTCTGGAGTAGCTGGGACTACAGGCGCCCCCCACCTCCCCCGGCTAGTTTTTTGTACTTTTTAGTAGAGACGGGGTTTCACCGTGTTAGCCAGGATGGTCTCGATCTCCTGACCTTGTGATCCGCCCGTCTCGGCCTCCCAAATTTTCTTCTCTTACTAAGAAAAAGTAGTTGGCCAATGCTGATCTGTTATATTTTCCAATGGGAACTTTACACAGAGCATCCATGTCCATGCTACATTGCTCCCTTCCTCACATGTACGAGGAACTGCAAATTCCATTCTCTGAGCTCCAGAAGAATAAAAACCTTTAAAGACATCTCAGAAAAAATTTTTTTTAATTCATTCATGATAGGTAATCATTGAAGATTCTGTTCTCCATTAAATCTTGAAACCAGCGGAGGCAGACCCACTGAACCACTTTATGTATAAAAATGTTTAACTAGATGCTTTCTTAGGCAGGATTTACATAGATTAGGGAACCATCAAATCATTCCATTCAATCTTCATAGCAATCGTGAGTGTTAAATATTTCTATTCTGATTTTGTAAATAAACAAATTTAAGGCTCAAAGAGGCTGAGTAGTTTGTTCAAGATCAGAGAGTAAATAGTAAAGTCAGAGTCAAATTCAAGGCCATTTGGTTTAAAGGTTGTACACATGGTACGCTGCAAAAAACAAAACAAAACAAAACGGATCTAGGACTTCCTGCCAATGTTCTGCTTTTAGATTTTTGCCCAATAACATATTTTTCAGCCAGTATTCACTACATTTATATTTAATTAGGACCTGTCCACTATCTATTAAATATGATCTTAAAATATTCTTGACCCCAATAACACTAATCATTCTGTCTCTCTGGGTAATTTTCAAGGTCTTTTCCTAGTCAGAATTCTGGTCCTAAGGTTCATCCTCATTTAATTTTACTCTCTCCAAATGCAGACATGAATCATCAATTTTCCATTTTAGTGTCCATAAGAGATATTTAATTTCTATAAATACATCTTGAATGAGGCATATAAACAGCATGATTAAGCAAAACATGTTCACTGCCAAGAGTCAAAAAGATCTAGATTCAAATTCTGGCTTGGCACTTCTTAGCCTCAAAACTTGGCAAGTTGCTTATATTCATTAAACCTCTGTTTCCTTATAGAAGGAATAATGTTACTACCCACCTTTCTAAGATTTTTTTTTTATTATTAAATAAAGTAACATTTGTAAAGATCTTAACAAGTACATAGTCAAGGTAAACACTCAGTAATTAGCAGATGTTGCTAACAGTATTATTACTAGTATTGTTAGGTTTAAAATATATGAACATTTATGAATAGTCTGGAACAGTTAGTAGACAGTATTGGACACAAATAGAGTTTGAACTATATAACTCAAGGAAACAGGCTTTGCATTTAAATCTTAAACTGCTTCTGATAAAGTAGCAGCGGTGGTACGGCTGCCCTTTCTCTTTCTGATATACAAAAATCACAAGTATCTGCCCCCTCCACTCCATTATTTTTATTTTGATATTGACTATTCTGACCTGATGCTAGCAGATTTTGCTTTTAAGTCATTCCATCTTTGGTTCATATCATCCAGTCGATGTTGAAGCATAGTAGCCTCTTCAGAATTTCCCAAAGCTTTTACCATCTTCTGCCTATTTCCGTCAATGCTTTTAAATATGTCATTGTGGGCATCAATTTCTGCCTGGATGTCCTAAAGAGAAAAAAAAGCAAATAGATAATGCAAATGTTAGGAATCAGTAATAGGTATTGGAATTTCTGCATAGAACTTTATAGCTTTATATTAACGGAAGAGTTTCTCTCAAGCAAAACAGTTCATTTCACCTTAAATTATAAGAAATTCAAGTGCTTCCAAAATTCTTATTATTCTGAAAATAATAGTCTTTAAATCTTCAGTACTTCCAGCTTTGTTCTTTTTGCTTAGGATTATCTTGGCTATACAGGCTCTTTTTTGGTTCCATATGAAATTTAAAGTCGTTTTCTCCAGTTCTGTGAAGAAAGTCAATGGTAGCTTGATGGGAACAGCACTGAATCTATCAATTACTCTGAGCAGCAAAAGAAACTATCATCAGAGTGAACAGGCAACCTACAGAATGGGAGAAAATTTCTGCAATGTATCCATCTGACAAATGGCTAATATCAATAATCTATAAGGAACTTAAACACATTTACAAGAAAAACTCAAACAACCCTACCAAAAGGCGGGCAAAGGGTTCGAAGAGAGACTTCTCAAAAGAAGACATTTATGTGGCCAAGAAACATATGAAAAAGAACTAATCATCACTGGTCATTAGAGAAATGCAAATCAAAACCACAATGAGATAACATTTCCTGCCAGTTAGAATGGCAAACATTAAAAACCCTGGAAACAAGAGGTGCTGGCGAGGATGTGGAGAAATAGGAATGCTTTTACACTGTTGGTGGGACTATAAATTAGTGCAACCATTGTGGAAGACAGTGTGGCAATTCCTCAAAGATATAGAACCAAAAATACCATTTGATCCAGAATCCCATCACTGGGTATATATCCATAGGATTATAAATCATTCTACTATAAAGACAAATGCACATGTATGTTTATTGCAGCACTATTTACAATAACAAAGACTTGGAATCAACCCAAATGTCCATAGTGACAGACTAGATTAAGAAAATGTGGTACATATACACCATGGAACACTATGCAGCCATAAAAAAGGATGAGTTCATGTCCTTTGCAGGGACATGGATGAAGCTGGAAACCATCATTCTCAGCAAACTATCACAAGGACAGAAAACCAAACACTGCATGTTCTCACTCATAGGTGGGAACTGAACAATGAGATCACTTGGACACAGGGCGGGGAACATCACACACCGGGGCCTGTCGGGGGGTGGGGGGCTAGGGGAGGGATAGCATTAGAAGAAATATCTAATGTAGATGACGGGTTGATGGGTGCAGCAAACCACCAGGGCACATGTATACTTAGGTAACAAACTTGCACATTCTGCACATGTATCCCTGAACTTAAAGTAAAATTAAAAAAAAAAAAAACAATTTTTAACTTGTGAGCAAAAATACTTCCAAAAGCATAGAATAATTGATATAGTTAGGCTTATGCACACACAAAAACAGAGAAAGAGGGGAGAGGAAGATTTTGACAAGATCTAGCCTTTATGCACGTATTGAAGTGATGTTATTTGATTTAAAACGATTCTTAAATTTATCAACCTAATTATTTTATTATTGATATGAAAGATCATTCTTGGGAATAAGCACAAAAACATATATTTGGCAAGTAAATAACAATCTAATTCTTCTGTAACAGAAAAATTTCTGGATAAGTATAAAGAAAATACAAAGAAAGTCAGTCTCCCTAACTTTACTTGCCCTTAATCTATTTTGATAACTAAATATAAAAGAAAATATTATCCCACTGATTTATCCAAAACAATTGCATGCATTATCTGGGAATTTCAATAATTTATTTATATCTAATATTAAATTAAAAAGCCAAAAAAAAAAGTTTATCTTTATAAAATAAATTTGGAGGCAGTTTAAGTAAAATTAGAATTATTATAAATTTTTTTTAAATTGGTTCAGATTTTGGGGAAACATTTGGTAATCTATATCAAAAGCCACAGACTTAAAATTCTTTTGAGGAAAATGGCAGATAGGAGACAGGTCTAATGCACTGCTCCTGCTTAGACGGACAGAACAGCATCTGGAGACTCACACTGTGAACTTTCGCTCCAAGAACCACTGCAGGAACACACCAAGAAAACGAAAAGAATTCACAGACCCTTTTAAAGAAGGAAGTTGCCACTGCAAATGCCACAAGACAGCATAAGCTCTTGGGAATTTTACAGCCTCACCCATCACCTGAAATGACCTGAGTACTCATCCTGGCCAACATAGGGCAATATTATACCATCCTACTACTAGTGCAGCTGGCGCGGTCCTGAAAGCACCACCTCCTGGCTAGAGGCCAACCAACTCAAGTCATGACAGTCACTGATAACAGAACAACCCTGCTCCAAAGAAGGAGAAAACAACAGTTAAGTCCACTGCTTACCAAACATCAGCTTAACCATAAGTTCTGAGTCTGTTCACACGACAACTTCACTGCTAGCATAACTGGCATTTGAGGAAACCAGAGCACTAAACAAAACCAAGGATTACCACAGAGCCCACTTCACTCCCCTGCAGCCTCCACTGGAGCAGGTGCTGCTATCCATGGCTGGGAGACCTGAGGACAGATCACATCACAGGACTCTTTGCAGACATTCCCTAGGACCAGATTTGAGCCCGGTAGCCCTGCTGGGTATCTACACGCAGAAAAGCACAACAATCACTGCAGTCTGATTCTCAGGAAGTCCCATCCCTAGAGGAAGAGGGAGACCAATACATCAAGTGATCATCTTACGGGGCAAAAGAATCCAAATAGCAGCCCGTGAGTTTCAGATCTTTCCGATGAAACAGTCTATTCAAATGAGAAGGAACTAAAAAAGCAGTTCTGGTAATATGACAAAATAAAGTTCTATAACACCCCCAAAAGATCACATTACCTTTCCAGCAATGGATCCAGTCCAAACCAACAAGAAATATCTGAATTACCAGATAAATAATTCAGAAAGTTGATTATTAAGCTACTCAAGGAGGCACCAGAGAAAGGTAAAAATCAACTTAAAGAAATTTCAAAAATGGCTAAGTGTGGTGGCTCATGCCTGTAATCCCAGTACTTTGAGAGGCTGAGGCAGGAGGGTCACTTGAACTCAGGAGTTTGAGACCTGCCTGGGCAACACGGCGAAACCCCATCTCTACCCAAAATACAAAAAAAATTAGCTGGAAATGGTGGAATGCACCTGTGGTCCCAGCTACTTGGGAGACTGAGTAAAGGATTAGAAAAGATATTCCATGCAAACGGAAACCAAAAGCAAGCAGGAGTAGCTATTCTTATATCAGACAAAACAGACTTTAAAGCAAAAACTAAAAAGACAATAAAGGATATTATATAATGATAAAAGGATTAGTCCATGCACCTAACATAGGAGCTCCCAAATTTATAAAATAATTACTACTAGACCTAAGAAATGGGACAGATAGCAACACAATAATTAGATGGGACTTCAATACTCCACTGACAGTACTAGAGGGGTCATCAAGACAGAAAGTCAACAAAGAAACGATGAACTTAAACTATATCCTAGAACAAATGGACTTAACAGATGTTTACAGAACAGTCTACCCAACAACTGTAGAATATATATTCTTTTCATCAGCACATGGAACATTCTTCAAGATAGACCATATGATAGGCCATAAAACAATCCTCAATAAATTTAAGAAAATCAAAACTATATCAAGTACTCTCTCAGAAGACCACAGTGGAATAAAATTGCAAATTAATTCCAAAAGGAGCCTTCAAAAGTATACAAATATACGGAAATTAAATAATCTGCTCCTGAATGATCTTTCAGTTAACAAAGATATCAAGACGGAAATTAAAAAATTCTTTGAACTGAACAATAATAGTGACACAACCTATCAAAACCTCTGGGATATAACAAAAGCAGTGCTAAGAGGAAAGTACGTAGCATTAAATGTCTACACCAAAAAGTCTGAACGAGCACAAACAGACAATCTAAGGTCACAACTCAAGGAACTAGAGACAAGAACAAGCCAAACCCAAACCCAGCAGAAGAAAAGAAATAACAAAGATCAGAGCAGAACTAAATGAAAGTGAAACAAACAAACAAAAAACACAAAAAGTAAGTGAAACAAAGAGCTGGTTCTTTGAAATGATAAATAAAACTGATAGACCATTAACATGATTAACCAAGAAAAGAAGAGAGGGGATATAAATGAGCTCAGTTAGAAATGAAATGAGTGATACTACAACTGATACTACAGTAATATAAAAGATGATTCAAGGCTACCATGAACAATGTGAACACCTTTACACACATAAGCTGGAAAACATAGAGGAGATGGATAAATTCCTGGAAATATACAACCCTTCTAAATTAAACAAGGAAGAAAGAGACACTCAGAATAGACCAGTAACAAGTAGCAAGATTGAAATGATAGTTAAAAAGCTACCAAAAAAAAAAAAAAAAAAAAAAAAAGTCCAGGACCAGATGGATTCACAGCCGAATTCTACCAGACATTCAAAGAAGAACTAGTACCAATTCTATTGACACTATTCCACAAGACAGAGAAAGAGGTAATCCTCTCTAAATCATTCCACGAAGCCAGTATCAACCTGATACCAAAACCAGAAAGGGACATAACAAAAAAGAAAACTACAGACCAATATGACTAATAAACACAGATGCAAAAATCCTCAAAAACATACTAGCTAACTGAAGTAAACAGCATCTCAAAAAGATAATCCACCACGATCCAATGGGTTTCATACCAGGGATGCAGGGATGGTTTAACATACGCAAGTCAATAAATGTGATACAACACATAATAGAATTAAAAACAAAAAATCACATGATCATCTCAATCGCCACAGAAAAAGCAATTGACAAAATACAGCATCCCTTTATGATTAAAACCCTCAGCAAAATTGGCATAGATGAGACATTCCTTAAGGTAATAAAAGCCATCTATGATGAATTCACAGCCAACATTATACTCAATCGGAAAAAGTTAAAAGCATTCCCCCTGAGAAGTGGAACAAGACAAGGATGTCCACTTTCATC